CTTAGGGTCTGTATGTCCAGGCGTCGTAGGTCTGTGGGAACAGTATCTGTAGGATCTTAGGGTCTGTATGTCCAGGCGTCGTAGGTCTGTGGGAAGTATCTGTAGGATCGCGCCAGTCCCTAAAGGTCCAATTTTTGCAGCAGCCTCACAAGAGAGGTGAGGACCTTCCCAAAATAGCAACTTGGCAGAGGCAGAAGGAGGCCGGTACCTTTTGAAGCAGGCAGGCTCACCCCACGAAAACAAAATATTTTGGGCTACAGTACCAGACGGCAGGCAGTTGTTCTTTTCGGAGGGAGAATACGCCCAGCGAACTGGCTGAAGGAGATGGTCATAGCCGCACCCCTCTTCTGTTTTTCGTTTGTACCCGCCCAGGGCCTTTACCATACGTGCCCAGGGCTCCGTTTGGTTTGGTGGGCTCAACTGCGCAATGTGCTGTAGCTGTCTGGCGCGATGCATGGACTCCGTAAACCCCAGATTAGGACCTGTTGAGATTTCAAGCACGCAAATGATTTCCAACAGCGCAGGCCTTTCATAAAAGAGAAGTCCATTTACACTCTATTTTATTTATTTGACAGTGAACAACAGCCTCTTTTCTTGGTCCTTATGCTCTGCCCGCGGTCACATTGGCCTGTATTCAGGCCTAGGTGCATGTTTGCAGGCCCGCCTTTCCTTATGACGCACAAGACCTTTTCCAACACTGCGGAGGGACAAATCCCTGCAGTGATATGCACTGTGTCTCGGTGGCAGTGCACTATTACCAACCAAAAGAAGAAAACGAAACACAAACAGCAAAAAATGTAAGTAGCCAGATTGTTTGCTTGCCAGATACGTTTTCTTTTTTCTTTTTTGTTTTTCATGCGGGACCACAAGGCCCAAACATGTTCTGCTTGCTGAGCCTCCGACCCCCGAAAACTCCGGAGAAAATGGGAAAATTTCCTGTTTTGCCATTTTTCCGAATAGTGGGCGAGGTAGTGGTGGGTGGTTTAAGCGAAGTTTTGTGGGATGTTTGAGATCCTCGGGTAATTTGAGTGATCCGCTGGCTAATTTTCTTTTTGTATCTGCACAGATCTTGTACGGTCTTTTCATGCAAAATTTGGCAACCAAGGTCTTTAGAGTCCATGAAAGTTATGCCAATTCTGCTTGCGAGGGTTTTCTGCAGTTGTTGCTACCTTCGCTGCGTTTGTCATTTCTTTGTCTGTAAGCATGCATATTGATTGCTTGTATTTGCACTGGGCATGTGATGTGCAAAAGATAACGTTAACTGATTGTTAATGAAAGTGTTTGCTTGGCTAGCACTGTTAAGTAGTCATATGACTTGGTTGTTGTCTCTGTGTTTGAAACTTTCATTTTTTCTGTGCGGCCCGTTATGGGTTGTTGTCCGTGCTATGATGTGGTGCTGAAATGACGTTTGTTTACTTTGGCTGCCAATATGTCAGGTGTTGAACTGCGAGCCAACAAAGGAGAGTATCCTACCTTATATTCTGTTCATTCAGAAGATTATTCGGTAAGTCAATGGGCGTTTCTCGGAGTGTTTGTGATCACGAGTTCTCATGCTGATGACATTGGTCATCAACTGATTGGATGCATGAATGTGAGGATGAAAAGGAGTTAAGATATGTTGTGTTCTTCGTATTGGACAGAGCGCAGCTAGATTCATAGGGCAGCAATGGCGTCAGAGGCTAGCTAAGTTCAAGCAGCTGATCGGTTCCGCGTTTTGCAGGGGTCTGCTGCTCGTGTCAGCTTGAGTTGGGGAGAGCTTGTCGATGTCAATGTCCTGGGGGCAGCTGAGTAGTTTGCCGGTTTCACCCTGAATTCAGCTTGGTGCTTTTGGTTTTGGGAAAAGCAATTGAGTTGATGGCTTGGTTACAGCGAACGGTCAAGAGTTCTGGCTGCAATGCGTGTGGGCAGGGTATGTTCATGTTGTTTTTGTTTCTGGGAAAAGGTTAACACTTCTAAATCGTGCGAGTGGACATCGTGTTTTTTTGGACAGTGGTCTGTCTGCCGGATTGTGGTCTGCTTTTGTTCAGTGGACTTAACATTTGTTCTTTTTTGTTTTCAAATGTTTGTTTATGTTTAGCTTACGATGATTTTGTAAGTGTTGAGGTGTCTGTACCTACTATGAGGTGTCTGTACCTACTATGATTTTGTAAGTGTTGAAGTGTTTGTACCTGCACGTAGCTTTTGGTTAGTTATCTGATCTGGTTTGGTGTTGTTTTTTGCAGGCGGAGGCCGTTCTTGATCAAGAATCTTGAAAATGTTTTGCGGCGGTTGTTGCAGGTAAGTACTTGAATGCGCGTTGGTACTTATGGGCTTTGTTTGAGGGGGGGGGAAGGAGGGAGTCTGCAGGCTTGGTTTGTTGGTTGCAATCTCTCCCAACAGATGGGGTAAAGTTCTGTGCTTCCAGGGGGAGGGCTGATTTGGGACCGAACTGCTTGTGAGGGAAGAAAGGCCCACACTCTCGAGTGGAATATGTGTATGTGCGTGTGTGTGACTGTGGCATACTGCGTAGCCACACGGGCCCTACAGGGCCCGTCCCGGACATTCAGCCTAAAAGCCTAAAACTTAAGGCTTACAGGCCCCGTTCATTTCAGCCTGGATGCTGAAAAACGAGGGCCTGCAGGCCCTACCTCGTTTCAGCCTATTTCTGGGTCTTTTCAGACCCAGAGTTTTCAGCCTGAAACTGGACACAGAGAGAGATCGAGTTGTTCTTCTTCCTCTTCTAAGTCCACCTTCTCATCTCACCCTCTCGCCACCTGACTTCTCAGACTACGACAGAGAGAGACAGAGTTGTGACTTGAGACTTGACGACATTGGATCCAGACTTGACATTTGGGATTCAGACAGTTCGACGAGGGACTATTTGGGCTTGTGCCGAAGACTTGGTGTTGACGACATTCCCATCTTCCCCCTCCTCTTCGTCTATCCCCTTCCTCCTCGTCTGTGCATGTTCTGGGCTGGCGCTGTCTTCCTGTGTGAAGTGCCAGACCCATTCACACTATGAAACGATGATGATGATGTATGTTCAGGGCTGCATTACAACATTGATTGTTCGGATCACTGGTATCCAAGTCTTCCGCTGTGCTATCTTATACCTTGTATTGAAAGGTCGGTTTTTGTTCTGGTATGCACTTATACGGTATGCAACAGTGACAGTGTGTGTGCACCCTGTTTTGGTCTGTGCAATAGGGAGTAGGTCAGACCCTTTTGGAAGGAAAATGAGTGAGAGCGATAGGCAAAACCAAATTGCAATATCACGCTGAAGACCAGATAGTGTACCAAGCAGAAAGCACCATGCACCGAGAATCAAGGCTAAAAAGAGCAACACGATGAGCTCAAATGTCGATGTCGGCACTCTTCCCACCACCAACATGGTATACAATGTCTCCCTTTTTGATTGGCGCTCAGTCTCCAGCCTATCCTCCTCGGCACCTACTCTAGCCTACAATATGATATGCAACAGGAGTCACTTGAAATTGAAGATCGATGTATGTGACGAAGCTGTCAATGCAGACTGCTGCATACTCTAGGTACATGCCTCTTCTTCCTCGCAGCTGGATACCCTTCTCTCCCACTTAGTCTTCCCTCTCCCAAAGACCACCCTTCCAATACTAGCACTTGCGCGGCCAGCCTGGCTATGGCTGATGTGCACCTGCTGCCCAGCAGCTCCTCTGTCATTGCTTGCACTCGTGTGCGGCCTCGCCAGTGCACAACACGTGAAACTGCCTGGCGCCCCACCGTGCAGGCCGCATGTCAAATGCAGGCGAACCTTCACTTAGAGCGGTCACGAGGCTTGCTGGCCCCTAGGGCAGTCGGGTGCCTCTGCCAGAAAGGACAGCTGAGGCCTCAAGCCTCGCTCTTTTCTGGGTTAGAACTGAACCCGTCATGAAGGCTGGTGGGAGATGATGTCTACTGGAACACAATCTGGTTCGTTTGGCGTGGTGATCTATTGGACTTTCATACAGACAAAGCAGGGGAGCAATATGTGGATCCGGAATACGGGGAGACGTGACAATGGATGCTCGCTATGCGGGGTTCTGTGGAGTGCAGTTTCTTTCATTATTTTCCTGTGATTGAGGTTCTGTACGATTGACAAGCTCTGTTTCTCTTTGCCTCCTGCAGTCACTTGAGCATTATGGCGCGGAAGACCGCAAGAAGCTCGCCATTTTCACTGCCCTCACATTTTCACAGAAGCTGTCAGGGGTGAGTACACTTTTCCGTTCCAGGGTCTGATTGCATGTCTTCTGTAAGAACCCGTTCGAGTCTGCCTGTTACATTTCTGCTTTGCATTGCCTAGACTGCGGGTATAACACACTTGTGTATGTTTGTGCAGTCTTGTTGGTGAAGAGTTGAACTATCTTTGCTGCTGGGACTTCGACATGATAAGTCTGTCACATGCAGTTTCACTGGTTCTGGTGGCTGACTAGGAAGCTGACTCTAACTGTCGTTGTTCAATTTTCGTATCTGCAGCTTCCTCCGGAGAACATCTTCACATGTTTGTTCAATGATGCCATGGTTTCAAAGGGATCGGTGCTTGGCTTCGTGACGAATGTGTTTAAGGTAAATTTCTTCAAATCCTGATAACCACGGATAACGTTGAAGATGAGATGGCCTTTGTATAAGGGGGCTGTTTATTTGTAGTGCAGTTTGCTATTGTTAACTTTTCCTTCTCTTCATGGCAGAGTGATTTCAGTGTGAAGTATGTATTGTCAAAATAGTGATTGGTCTAGTCGATGGAGGTCTTCAAAGGTGGGTCTTTGTTCTTCTTCAGTCAGTGTGATGTGCAGGGGACGGTGGTGGATTAGTTAGGCGTCAACGGTGTTATCGGGCTTCACTGTAAATATGCTACTGAGGACTTGTTTGTTCCATTTTCGTGCAGGTGTTCCTCGAGGAAAGCACCTTGGATGAGCTTGTTGCGCTTCTGAAGAGGGCGAAGGTGAGGAGGCTTCTTTGGGATGGCCGGGTCGTAGTTTCTGTGATGCGTAAGTGCTTGAAACTATGCCTTGCATGTGGATGGTTGCCTTTCCAGCGAATGCGAAATAGATGCCTTGCATGGAACTCTGTCGCTGTGGGTGTGTGAATCGTTTTCTGACTCCTTTTTCACTCGTGCTTAATTTCTGCAGGTGGAGGACCGCATGCTGGAGTTCTTCCCAATGCAGAAGCGGACCCCAGAGTATTTTGCGGAGCATTTCATGAAAGAGGGCCTGGTACGTTGATGTAATGGAATTTGAGTCTCAAGGCGGAAGTTTCTTTTTTGTGGCCGCGTTGGACAGGGTCGAGATTTGGGGGCTGTGGTTGGACAAGATTGCTCGTCGGTAGGTTGGGAGTTTATTAGTAGTCTGTAGTCAATGCTTGTATGCTCTCTTGGGAAATAAGTTCAAAGAATCTTGTTGATAGTTGGTGAATATGGGTTGAGGAGTGGATTGGTTAATATGGGTTGAGGAGTGGATTGGTGAATATGGGTGGAGGAGTGGATGATGTAGTGTTCTCGGTGTGTCTGTGTTATGAGGATTCTCTGTTTGATCGTTCTGTTTCTATGCGATTTGGTCGTTTGTGCTTCAGCCTACAATAGTACCGAGTGCAACCTGTTTCAATAGGAGCGTTTGCGGGGTTTATTTGATGAAGAATGTGAGGATGATGTTGTCCCCGTGTCATTGTGTCTCACCTTTTGGCTGGTCGGTTGCCTTTGTATGCGTTTGTGAAACAGTCTGAAATCGTTGAATACAACCGCAAGAAGGTCTTCGATGTTATGCTCAAGGAGCTGCACACTTCGCTCTCTGAAATTATGAGGTGAGCATCACAATTTTTGTCGACTGGTTTGCTGGGGGCCCCGGGATGTTTCTTTTATCTTCTGGTCTAGTCTCTTCTGACCATGAAACTTGGGTTGCTCTCTATGGGGGGTTCTCTCTCTCCACCTGCACGTCCTTTCACGGAGAGAAAGAAAGAAAGAAAGCATGAGACACAGTTTCGCGTGCAGCAAATGGAGACGGAGGGAGAAGGATCATGAATTTAATTCAGAATATATTGACACTGAAACATCTGCAAGAACGTGTACAATGATGTCAGCTTTCACAGTTGTGTTGAAAAGAAATGAGAAAACTGACTTGCTGTAAAACAGAATTAAACAAACAAACAAACAAACAGGACGGTTTCCTAACTTTCCTGCCTAAACCAACATGAAGACTCACGAGACTAAAACTTCTGAATTTTTCCGAATTTGTGTGCCTGCTATCACCATCGTTGGACATCTCTAGATGAATTTGTCTGCATCCTTATATGATGAACACATGCGTGCAATGAAACACAGCTGAGCCAGTCGACCAACATAGAATGCCATGTCTGAGGGCGTGTTGGTTGTATCGCTTTTGCTTGTCATTTCAGCGAAGGAGGGCCTGTAAACCTTGGAGAAACTATTGAGCTAGTAAAGCAGCGGCGCAAGGAAGGAGAGCTGCCTGATGTGGACATTGTGAAGACCATCTGGGAGTCCATGATGGATGCTGTGCAATGGAGCGGCAAGAACCAGCAGCAGAATATCAACAATGCACTCCGGCAGGTCAAAGGGTGGGCTAAATTGCTTGGAGCGTTCTGCACTACACCCAGACTTGAGGTTGAGCTGATGTATAAGATTCAGATCCACTGCTATGAGGACGCGAAGTTGATGAAGCTCTTCCATGAGGTGAGGCTTAAAAGATCAATTATTGAACTGCTCAGAAATGTTTTTGTAGATTTTTGGTGCAAGGGGGTGGGAGGTTTCGTTAACCGTTAATTGTGTGTGTCGAGTCCAGAGTCCAATCTGTCTCTTCTCGTCTCCCCGACCATGCCATGTATGTGAACGGGAATGGCAACAAGATGGACAAGTCTGTGCGAGGTGGACTATCAGTTCTTTCTATGACATTCCTATGCCATGTGGCGTGTCTATGGTCAAGGGAAGGAGATACTGGCTTGATTACATGTACAGTACAGGTGCAGGAGGATGGAGGAGGAATGTGCGAAGCGGCTGGTTTTGTAATTCAACCATTCTGAGGTGCTGTAATGTTGGGAACCATGTCGAAGCCGGTACTCCTTGTCTGTGTATTGTATATATATGTACTGATCGTCATAGTTGGCCTTGCGAAATGTGATGTGCAGATTGTGCGGGCGCTTTACGATCTTGATGTGCTGTCCGAGGATGTTATTCTGAAGTGGTTCCGTAAAGGCAACCTCACGAAGGGCAGGTGAGCGTTTCTATGTGGTTTTCAGTCTGTAGCGGCCATTGTTTCGATGTCTATGATTCTATCCGTTTTCCAAGCAGAACTCGCATGTCGGTGGTGAGTGAACGTCCCAGGGAATGCAAATAGACTGAATGGAATTTCGCCTTTCATTTTACGCTGCTCTGAAGTCTGTGAATTCACTTCACTGTTTTCGGTGTTTGTGAATTCACTGCACTGTTTTCGGTGTTTGTGAATTCCCTTCACTGTTTTCGGTGTTTATTGTTGAATTGGAATTTGCTGGGAGGGGAAGGTGGTCTGACTGTGTCCTTGCTGTTCGTCCGTCGACCTTCTTGTGCAGGCAAATGTTTGTGAAGTCCCTCGAGCCGTTCGTGAAGTGGCTGGAAGAAGCTGAGGAGGAGTCTGATGATGATAACTAACATTTCAGCAAACATCCTGACTTGGAGAAGGTTTTGTCATCGTGGGTCTCTTGTTGTCAATTTGATGGTCTGTCGTCGAGGGGCAGTAAATGGCTAGGTGGTATGCATTTGTTGCAGGTCGGTGAGATCTCTCTGCAGATGCACCTGCGAATGGCGTAATGCCAGGATTTGGAAGTACATTTTCGCTAGTCATTTTCGCTAGTCTCTGCAGCCTTTCCTTTGCAGGGTAGAATGGTCCAGAGGGTTCGAGATTACAGGTCAGGAATAGGCGCTCGAGTGGGTAACTTGTTGGTCCTGGAATCGATAATGTGGGCAATAATGTGTGAAGGTGGGGGGTCGGGGGGGTGGGGGGGGTTGTCTCCTGTTGTTCCTGTGTCATTTTGTCTTGTGTTTGCAACTGACGACCAGCTAGCTAGATTCTTCATGTTGGAGCAGGATTGAATGAGTTGACTGGCACAACCGGGGTGTGTATTCTCCCTGTGAATTGCGGTGGAGTGGGCTAGGGTTGGCGGTGAGATCACAGACGGGTATGAGGTGGCAGTTGAGGCCAAGATCGTGTCCAACTTTGTGGTTTGGGAAGTGTGGACGTTGAAGGTGTTTGTTGCCTTGCGAAGACGTGAAGGGAGGGGTGTAATTCCTGATTGTGAAGTGGATGTCCACGTTTTCACTCCCTGTGCCTGGTAATGTAATGCCATTTTTGGAAAAACGAGGCCACAGACACGGAGAACTCGTCTTTGCCCTAGTTAGTGAAAGACTAACAGTTTTTAGTGCGTGTCTGCTGTCAGTCTTTGGTTGGTACTCAATGCCCTTTCTGGTACACAAGGCCACAGAGGAAATGTGCTGACTAATCTGGTGATTGGCAAATTCTATAGCCCTTTCCCCCTTGCCTTCTCCTTTGGTTTGAAACATCTGTTGGAAGGTGCGGTGGCCTCTATCCACTATGCTCTAGTGTAACGAGGGTTCCTACTTGGGTTACCTCCCTGTGCAGTACTTATGCACATGTGAGGTAGTCACATGTAAGGTAAGCCTACCATGAGGATGAATGTAACGTCAAACTACCCAAACGTCAGCTGTTGTGACTGCACAAGAGCTGTGCACATGGCACGATTGAGTAGTGTGTGTTTGTCCGGTGTCAGTTTTCTTGTGTATTCCAGTGTAGTGCACCTATGAACTGGAATTCTCGAGGTGCCCTAGAATGGCAAGAATACCTGTGCTTGTTCCTTGGCATCTCGGCTGGGGGAAGGTGCCCTGTACCCTACAGGGTGGCCCGGGGCGGGCATGCGAAAATAATACGAAAAAATGATATGCTGTGTAATAAAATTGTAATACCAACTTTTGGCTTAGTAAATGTACTTTTTTAACCCCTGGCGCCCAAACCCCCCTGGATGACCCATCATCAAAATCGAAGACAGGCCTCCTGTTGGAGAGCGCCGAAATTTTGGCCTGCACTGTCTTTTTTTTATTGGGATATCCTTGCCTCTTTTTTGACCCGTCTGGTTTTTGTCGGGCGGCCCCCGCTCTATCCAAATGGACCATTAAAGAGGGCATTTAATAAACGCAGGGAGTTCTGGGGCCATTTAATAACCAGTGCGAAACCCCCACCCCTGAAATTTTTGGGGGAAATATAGAGGGGCAGCATTTGCAGAGTCGCAGCCTTATAGTGAAAGGTGCAATACGGTGGACCACCAGTACTTGAAAGACACTGTTCACCTATGCCCACCAGTAATTGAAAGACCCTTTTCTCCTCTGCTTGAAACGCCCTGCATGCCTAAAACGAACTGAACTGGTGCAGGCCTGATTTTGGCTGGCACCGCTAGCCATTTGGCCGCGGAAGAGGCCGAGCCCCGAAGTTGCGGCAGCATGTAAGCTGGGACTTTGAAAGAACGGATGGGAAACGTACTGGTAGACAGTCAAAGGCACGTTTTCCCTGGGCTGGAGATGCCCTGCTTGTCTAAAATAAAATGAACTGGCACGGGCCTAAATTTGGCTGGCGGCACGTGGTGCTACTAGCCGTTTCTATCCGGAAGGCCAAGCCCCGAAAGTTGTTGCAGCATGCAAGACGGAACTTTGAAAGAATGGCTTCGACCTTGGGCCCTGCATTTTGTTTAGACTACCGTCTTCACCCGAATAAAACGCCCGGTAATTAAAACTGCATCCGGACTGACAATTCTGCCAAATGCAGCTGTAATGACCGGGCGTTCTGATCGGGTGAAGATCGGGTGAAGACGGTAGTGTGATTTAATAATTTATACCCCGCCAATTGGGCGGCACGTCCTTGGTATTTACCAAGGGACTAACAGGCGTGGATTATCTCCGATTGCCTTAGCCTTGTGTGGTGTCGGTTCGGCTTTGGTTTGCCCTGTCAGTTGTGGAGGCAGTGGTTTATCTCTGGAATAGCCCGAGGATGACCAAAGCCTACAAGATGGTGTAAAACCGTCTTATGCAGGGGGAAGGAGAACTGTGACTTTGTACTAGCACGCTCTCTTGGAGGACGATGGTCTCAGATGGCATTGTCTCAGATGGTCTCAGATTACGAAAACAGTATCACAGAAAATTGGTTTCACTTTTATCGGAAGTTGAAGGCGAGCTCAGGGTCACAAGAGAAGTCGATGTGCTGAAGATCGTGAGCTTTCTTGGCCACAGAGGAATGTACACAGAGCTTGAGGACCACAGTCTGGAAATGCCTGAGTGTGCAAGAAGTTGCCAAGAACTGTAAATAGTGTTATCACTGTTACTACCCTCGAGATAAATTTGCCCTCTTCCAATTACCTCCTACATTAATAGGATATTTGAAGAAATGCCCTCAGGCTCTTATCCGCTGAATGTGGCACCTGGGTTTCTGGGATTTTGCCAGATGTGGCCGGAGCCCGATGCGCACACCCTGAGAATGCCTCTGTTTAAACCACCGGCACTTGGCCCAGCTATCAATGCCGAGCCGGCACTCCCTGCGCTTAAGTTTCGCCGAACCGCAGGGGCGCTGTTTCAACTTTTTTTTGCCTAGCGCTTCCAGCCATTGTGGTCCGGTACCCCGAAGCCCGACAGGCGGGGCGGGTTAACAGGGAAGCGCGGCGGCCGATAGCTGGGCCAAAAGAGTGCGATACCGTGGGGTTCTTCTCGACGGTGTGTGGTACCTGGGTGTCTGCGGTTGAATCTGAAGCCCATGGCGTCTGCGTTGTTGTGCTGCTTAATCGTGGGATCTCTTGCATGCTCGTTCCGCCAGTACTCGTGGCTGAGGCAGAAAAGGGTTTTTCTCTCAGCTGAATTTAGTATCTGGCTTTTAGGCATGCATACACTGAATATGCTGCCACTCTGTTATGTGGGACCTGTCCCAAGAATGCACTGGGAGGAGTGGGTCGAACCACTCCGTTTCCTTTCCCAGGTTGCATGTATGTGACGAGTGGCAACAGATCACCTACCTCTTGACACGGACAAGGCCAGTGGTAGTGTATACGTCTGTGTGCTCGGTATGTATGTCTGTTGTGAGAAAAGCTTGATATGCATCTGTTATGATAACCAGAATGTGGGCTTCTGTACGATATTTCCCAACATGGAGAAGGAACGTGGAATGATCTCGAGGGCGTCACACTTATATTTAAATGGAGGGGCGGAAACAAGAAAACAAGGAAAAAGAAAAAAGTGGTGACTCAACCAAGAATAAATTTACGGAGAACCAATCGGTGTAGGGCAGTTGGTGCAGCCATTGAACTGATGAAGTACAGTCCCTAGTCCGAGTCCAGCTGCGGTTGGATGAACAGAACAAAATAATTATGGACTACTGGGGGTAGGTCAGCCCTGCACATAGGAAAAAAAAAACAAAATAGTGATCGATCAGGAAATGGAAATGTGGTGCATGCGGTCACGCATCAAGCAGTGGAAACTGCCCAGTGTTTTCAGCTGTGTCTTATCCGTGGAAAGGAGAAGGGCAAGTTTCAGAGCCTTTGTGGGCTTGGCTGTAAACTTCGGAAGCAGACAAGATCTTTCGTACATGTGTGTTCACAGAGGGCCCTTGCTACACTGCTCACGAAACCTGTGAGAATGAAAATGATTTTTCGGCTAGATTGCAAAGGCTGTAATAATCTGAAAATTTAAGAAATAGTCATCATATTTTGTCGTTTCTGGATGTGGTGAACAGTGGAGCGAGGCCCAGAATGGGGATCTTTTCGTTAACATTTGGCCCGACTGCTCGTAGGACTTTGTCTGAGTGCAATTAGGACTGCCGGGTACTGTGACTGTGTTCGGAACTGGATTGAAAACGTTGATGATGAGGGCACAAAAGGGCAGAGTGGTAGGGATCAACGCACATGAAGGAAGTCGGCACAAATGTGAGACGTAGGTACGTTAGCTATTGATGATAATAACGGATGAGGCAACACATGTAGCAAACTATGGTTCCAGGCGTTGCAGCTGGTCTGTTCTTAGGAAGGATGAAGTTCGGAACTGGATTGAAAACGTTGATGATGAGGGCACAGAAGGGCAGAGTGGTAGGGATCAACGCACATGAAGGAAGTCGGCACAAATGTGAGACGTAGGTACGTTAGCTATTGATGATAATAACGGATGAGGCAACACATGTAGCAAACTATGGTT